AGGGAAGAGTATCATATGCTGAGTTATTTTATCGTTGAGCACTGTACTGCAATGGGCGTTTTCCAATCGTGAATTGATTAAAATAAACTTCCGCCTCTAAAATTGAAATTGTAAATTGTAATTTGTTTACCCACGGAGCACTAAGGAGTTCATAAGAACTCGCTGAAACGTGTCCGTGCGTTCCAGATCTAATTGGAAGTTGAAAGTGTTGGTTTTCAAGGAGAGGGGAAAACCGGAGTACCCAGAGGAAAACCTCTTGCAGCAAGGGAGAGAACCAACAACAAACTCAACCCACGTATGGCGTCGACGCCAGGATCCGAACCCGGGCCACATTGCTGGGAGGCGAGTGCTCTCACCACTGCGCCACCCTTGCTCCCCAACCCCCCTTGCCTAACTTTCTAGAATCATCTCCGCTCGTAGAACAGTATGAGAGATAGCATCAGCGATTGATCTGAAAGTGAAGAAGTGGCTGACTGATTCTCACTTTGAATTACGAGAAGAATCTTAGTTTTTTTTAAAAGAATCTATCAAGTGGTTCAACTTATTCACTAATTTGTTAAAGTAGACCGAAATGTTTACAAAACCGCTAACAAGAGCGCCATGATACATACTAATGAAATCCTTCTTTGTAGCAATTGACCAGAATTATCTCTAAATTAAAGAGCTTCGACTAATTATGGCTGATCAGTGTCTTGATCTGCTAGCTGTTAATGAGACTAGACTCGATTCTACAATAACTGACAACTTGGTTCATATTGACGGCTATTCAATCCTAAGAAAGGATCGAAACTGTAATGGCGGCGGCGTGTGCATTTATCTTCGATCGAATATTAATTATTGCTTTAGAAGTGAAATAATTCCCAATAACGAGTTTGAAATGTTAAGTGTTGATATTAAAAAGCCTTATAGTAAAGCTTTTAACGTAATTGGGGACTACAGGCCCCCTAGCTGTACGGTTGGCTTCTTTGAAGCTTTAGAAGCTATTGTTCGCATTATTGACATGGAATCTAAGGAACAAATTATCTTAGGCAATTTAAATTGCAACTGTCTAGCGGATAGAAATAACATGCATCTGTCTCAGTGGAAGCAATTAAGTTCGACCTATCAGTTTCAACAACTAATCAATGAACCTACTAGAATCACACCAAATTCTAGTACACTTATTGATATAATATCAAATGAACGCTCAAGGATTTTAAAATCAGGAGTGGTGCATATGGAATTAAGTGACCATAGTATGGTCTATGCAGTACGTAAGTTTGCCATTTCATCTAAAAACACTCATACGCGTGTGACCACTCATTCTTTTAAAAACTTTAATGCAAGTGCTTTCAGAGAAGACCTAAAGTCAGCGCCCTGGGATAGCCTAAGAAATTGCACTTCTCCCGATGAAATGGTTGTAATGTGGGTAAATATGTTTTTAAAAATAGCTGACGCTCATGCGCCCATAAGAACGCGGCAAGTAAGAAATAAAAAATCCCCTTGGATTACTACTGAGCTGAGGGAGCTGATAACAGGTCGACACAGACTGAAAAGGCAGGCTATACTGACAAAACAGCCATCTTGCTGGGATAAATATAGAAAAGAAAGAAATAGAATAAATAATGAGATTAAAATGGCAAAAGCGCATTATTATAAATCAGAAGTGGAACAAAATGTGGGTAACCCGAAGGAAATATGGAGGACAACCAATGAGTTAACATATCGTAACTGCACTAGTAATTCTTCAATAAGTGAACTAAAAAGTGGTGATAATTCCTTCACAAAACCCACAGAAATGTGTGAGATTTTAAATGACCATTTTACATGTGTCGATCCAAACCTAGCCTCAACACTGCCTAGTGGAAATACAAGTTTTGACTCATACATAAAGCCTGTTTATATGACTTTTAATTTACAACATACCTCTGCCACTGAAGTTTTAAAGTTACCAGGTAAATTATCTTCGAACAACGCCACTGGCCTTGATAACATCTCATGTCGGCTTCTAAAAGAAGCTGGCCCAATTATTGCCACTTCTTTAGCCTGTATGATAGACAAAACCATAGATACTGGCCTCTTTCCTTCACAGTGGAAAATGGCTAAAGTATTTCCTTTGTATAAAAAGGGTGATCGCACAGATGCACAAAATTATAGACCAATATCTGTCTTGCCAGCCATTTCTAAGATTTGTGACAGGGTAGTCTACGATCAACTACACGGTTACTTAAATTCAAATGGCCTGTTAACAAAAAAACAGTCTGGATTTCGTTCCCCTCACTTTACAGTGACAGCGCTGTTACATTTAACAAATAATTGGTATCTTAACATTGACAAAGGCATGACCAATTTAATTGTGCTTCTCGATCTTGCCAAAGCCTTTGATACCGTTTCACATAATATTTTATTAAAACAGCTTGAGCTCTGAAGGATGTAACGCTCGACTGGTTTTCATCGTACCTATCACATAGGCAACAGCAGTGTGTGGTAGAGGGCTGTGTATCTAAGTCCCAGTTGATAAGTTGTGGAGTTCCACAGGGTTCAATTTTAGGCCCTTTGTTGTTTTAAATATATATCAATGATCTCCCTGGATGTCTTCTCCATACCAAAGCACACATGTATGCCGATGATACCCCATATATATGCGTCCTCTGTATCCACTGCTGAACTATATGCCAAGGTAAATAATGACCTAACTCGCATTAGGGACTGGCTTCTTGCAAATAAGTTAAGCTTAAATGTCAATAAAACGGAGTATATGTTCTTAACAACTACCTTCAAATTATCTAACTTAGGAAGAGACTTTCCAATTAAGATTGGCAACAATCGTGTTAAACGAGTCCAAAGAACAAAATATTTAGGAATTCACTTAGACGAAAATCTTAAATGGAACGAGCATGTTGACAAACTTTGTTCAAAAGTCAATCGATCCATCAGTGGTCTAAAACAAGCACGTGATTATGTACCATTAGATGTTCTAAATACTATTTACAAATCTCTTATCCAGCCTGTGTTCGACTACTGCGACGTTGTTTGGGACAATTTAGACCAGGGACTTGCCACTAGGATCCAGAAATTACAAAATCGTG